AAATTCTCATAATACTCAATTCTCATAATTAAAGCCCTTAATTCCTTAGCATAATGGCTTGATCATATTTGATATAGCTGCTTCTTTATTTATACATTTTTACAATAGAGGTTCTAGTAGATTAGGATATTTACTTCTAGGTTCTAGTCATCTCCCTGAGCTTACAAATCCTGAGGCTGTTATGACTTTAATTGTCTGTGAAGGCAAAGTTTATATTTTAAATAGTGCAACTACATTTTTATGTCACCACCACAAGTCACCACCACAAGTGGTGACATATTGCTATAGTCTCCAACTTTTTGTGGACAGTGTTTGGTGGTTGGTGTTCAGTGGCTAGCATCTGTAACAAATGGCAGGTAGTGACATGTTTGCATGTTAATGCCTTGGCATTTTATTTTGTAGTTTTTTACAAAAACATATATGGATTCATTAATTCCTTAAAAAGCAAGATATAAAGTTTCACTGGGATGGTTTGCATCTGAACAGTCATTTCATTTTTGGGGCACACTGGTAGACATTTTGAGCGCAAGATTTTACTTTCATTTCATGTTTTAAAAATACATGTAGGTCTCATTTTTGAGACAATTTACCATCTTGGAATTTGTCTCAATTTGTACCCATTGGGCATGGATTTTTTTCTGTATGAAACTTGTTATTGGCATCATGCTGTCTCCCTCACTGTTGGTTTCTGCATGGCAGTTTGGTGTTTGGCATGCTGCGATTGGGTTCTGTAACAAATGGCTTCTGTGACACTAACAAATGGCATGTTTTATTAACATATATCAAAATATATTCAGCTAATTGCCAAGGATTTTCAATATTACATGGAGTGGCAACTTAATGTTTACATTATACTAGGTGAATCATTAAATATGAAATAATAATGAATAATTATACCCATTCAATATTATTATTATTTTGTTTCACTTCATGCTTCATGACAGGATATGATACTGAATTACTGATTCATTTTGCATTGATTTGGTTGTGGTTTCTCATGGAATTTATTATATTAAAACTATGTGCAGGTGCTATGGCTGTGTAAATACAATATTTATCTTATGATTTATGAGTTGTGTTTTTTTTATCTATGAGTAAAAATAAATATCAGCATGAATGGAGGAACCTTTCATGATATATCAAGTTTTATCATACATTACATGTATATTTTATGTACTTTTATTACATTTAATCAACATACTGGAATCGATATGGTGTTATATTACAAAATGACACATTAGCGTGATTAGATACGTTTCCATTGATTAATCTAGAAAAATTGCCAGTGTTGAGATTGAAAAATCACGAAAGGCAACATTAGAAAATACAAACTAAGACATCAACAAAAACATACAATAAACAGTAAAAGTGTATTCAGGATTGCACACCCGACCCCAAGGAGTATTGGAAGCTGTTATTCAGACTCGATAATATTCGTAATTTCAAAGAGAACCTTAGGAAATATTTTACCTAAATTGTTCCAAGCCAGGCAACAAAATATTGAGTTTGAACAATGGCTGCCAATCCTCCTTGACCCAACCCCATGCAGACTGGGTAGAAAATGATCAGTGAGGATACCATGAACATAACCTCTAAATATGTGTAGGTGATACCTGATAAAAAAATGATATAGTCTAAGTGTAAATAGTTATGTTTTTAAAAGTTATTGATTGGGTAAATATGTGACTAATTTCACAGATGATGCGAGGCATCACAACTGATGACTTGCCATATAAGGTAATTTAATACATGAATGGCTTAGCACCCAATGTCAAATGAATGATCAGAAGACGATTTTAGAACAAAGTTCTCCATTTAGATCTAAGATGTGGCAGAGACATATAAAACTGAATCATGGGATAAATTTTCTAGAGTGGCAACCTCTGCTTTACATAGCAAGCTTCCAGTACTTTTTACAGGGGATTTTAATGGGAGACATCCCTTATGGAATGACTGTTCTATTAACAAATTGGGAAGCACTATTGCAGAGTTTGCCATGATCCATGACTTACACATTTTCAACAACCATCAGTTCACTAGAAATGAAACTATCATCGATTTAACCATCGGCTCCGGCTCACTGACATCCAAGATCTCGGAGTGGGCGGTGCGGGATGAGATCTATTTGAAATCAGATCACAAACTTATCTCATTCAGCGTCGGCCAGGCCGGGAAGGAGGAAGTCAGGGAATATTATGATTTGAAAAATGCAAATTGGGAAAAATTTGTTTCTGAAATGGAAAAACTTTGTCTTAACTGGCAACAAAACGTTATTGCTGCCAATGTTGAAGAAGCTTACACCTCCCTATGCTCGATAATGCTGGAACGACAATTTAAATCAACAAGTTAAAGCTCTGAGAAGGGCAAAACGCCGTTATAACAAGCGCAGTGACCCTCATAATTGGGAAACCTATACCAGGCTCGCAGAAGAGTTCGCAGAGAGTGCACATAAAGCTGAATCTAGCTATTGGGATGATCTCTTCGAAGAGCTTGATCTGGGTAACCCAAATATGATATGGAAAACTGTAATGAAAACTCAAACCAAAAAGGGTAAGAAAATAGTCCAACCAATTATAGATGGAAATGGTAACATTCATCATACCGATGAGGACATTGCAGAAACTATGGTTAAGCAATATGGCAAGCAACATCTGCCAGTACAGCGGTATGATGAATGGTACAACTTTGTTGTGAGAAAGGCCAAAGAATCTGTCCAACTTGAAAAAATCAAAATTAAAAACAGTAATTACAATCAGACTTGCGAACCTTTTAACAAGGACATAGAATTTGATGAAATAATAGCAGCTATTGAGAAAACACCAGCTAAAACTGCTCCTAGTCCTAGGGAAAAAATTTTGAGTATTTTTATCAAAAAAGGGGGGATCACACTACATAAATCAATTTGGCTTCTCTCACAGAAATGCTGGGCGGAAGGTCAGCTTCCCCAGGAATTTAGAATTGATCCAAAGATTATGTTAGGTAAACCTAACAAAAATAACTATAATTCAGACAGATCCTATCGCCCTATAACACTTGAAGCTCAAGTTGGGAAAATCCTACAAAGGGTAGTCAGCCCAAGGTTATCATGGATAAGCGAGACTACATCCTCTTACTGTGCCTTCCAGGATGCTTACAGGGAACATAGATCCTGTTCACAGACTGTGATTAGATTGGTGCAGTCCATCCAGGAGGCGTGGAATAGAGGAGAATATGTCATCGCAGCAGTATTAGATTACGAGAGCTGTTTTGAACGGGTGTTTAGGGAGGGGCTCATCTACAAACTAGCCCAGAAGGGAATCAATGGACGCCTGTTAGTGTACATCAGTGAATACTTAACTAATAGGCAATTCTCTATATCTGTCAACAACCACACTACTCCCCTACTGCCATCAGTGGTGGGCATCCCTCAGGGGTCCGTGTTGTCTCCGCTTCTCTGTAATCTCTACACGGCAGACTCCATGGACAACATAGGGTCGGAGAAGGCTGGCTTTGCAGATGACAACACAATATGGGCATGTGGAGCTGACTTGAAAGAGATAGAGAAACTCATCAACACGGACTTGAATCAATTAACCAACAAATGGTGCAAAAGATGGAACATGGAGATCGCCCCTGAAAAAACCGAGGTAATGGTCTTCAGTCCACCTGGTATCACTAGCCCCGATATTATCTTTATCGACGGCCGGAAACTCCAGGTGGTGTCCCACAAGAAGATTCTTGGATGCACCATAGATAACGAACTTAAATTTAATCTACATATCGAAAATAAGAAAAAATCTGCATTCGGTGCTCTTGCGGGCATAAACAATTTCACTTCCAGCAAATCGGGCTGTAGCCAAGAGGTATTCACCATGCTGTACAAAGCGTTGGTGATACCGCACTTCGAAACCAGCATTAGTGCTCTGGCTGCAGTTACCGAGAAAGCTGTTTCTGCCTATGCACCAGTCCAGAGGGCAGCACTACTTAGAGCAACCGGATGCCTCAACTCAACTAGCACTGACTCATTAGAAGTACTGGCTGGTGTACTACCGCTTGATATTTTACTAAGAAGCAGGCAGGCTCAAGAGGGTGTGAGAATAGCTACCCACACTGAGTCAGACCCCATTGCCAGGGAATTTTTGAGATGGGGTGGGTCATCTCAAACTGAGAAGACCCCCTCCTGCTTTAATATCATAACAGCCAGACTGAGACTTCATAGATGCCCCACACAACCTAACAATTATATACAGCACTATTACCATCACCAGGATGTAGACATCTTCCAACCTACGAAGGCAACCATCCATGACGAAGATTTTGCCAACACAAAGTCCGCCCAAAGCGTTCGAATAAGCTCAGTGCTTAGTGAACAGCCGGACGGTAGGACTATAGTCTTCACAGACGGGTCAGCCTATGGGAATCCTGGTCCTTCGGGAGCTGCTGCAGTGGTTTATGTGGGTGGACTTAAATCTACACCTATATGTCTTGAGCAACCAGTCTCCCTCATAGGTAACAACTATTATGGGGAAGTGGTAGCAATAAAGATGGCGGTAGAATATCTGACAACCATAAAGACTAGCAGCAACATCCTGCTCTTGTCAGACTGCCAACCCGCTATAACTGCATCTCAAGTGATCAAAGGCAGCATAATAATGCCAAAGTGATCCCGGAACACCTTATAAGGAACACTGAAAAGGACTAAGAAGAAGAAGATTATATGTTTCTAGATGTGAGAAGTATGACACCCCATTTTTTATCCAATGCTTAGCTGAAATGTGTGCTGTGTATATGATGTATTTACAATAATATTAATTATACACACTATTTATCAGTGATTTATAACAAAGTCTATGGTTCAACTGCAGGGTTAAACCGCACTAACCGCAATTCAAACCAAAAACCAGTTCTACTGAATGATTAGGAAAACCACATGTTTTATGTTTGTAAACAAAGCCACGTGCTCAAGTTTATTATGTTAATAGCATTGACGTCATTGATCACGTGGAATCCACCATAAATACACGAAAAGGAGAAATGAGGTTGAGAATGTCAATGGATAAAATCTTCATATCTCGGAGATTTCAACACTGATTTAATCATAAATATCGTTGAATTCAGTATAAATATATAATCTACAAAGACATCATAGTTGGATTAACTCATATTGGATATACGCAGTGATATTACTCTGATAATTAGGAACAGTCTAAATTTTCCCAAAATGGCGACAACCCCGTCTCCGACGCCAGAAACGAATGCAAAGTACTCGCCGGTTTCGCAGACTTCGTCCCCCCACTCGTCACCTATATTGAACGGAAATAAGAAGGCACACAACAGTCCCAGCCATTCAGGAACACGTTATAAGCTCATACACGAAGGAGATATACAAGTGTGTAGGCTAAACCATACCAGAACAATCGTCAGTAAAATTATGAACTCAAAATATTTACGACGATGGGAAGCACATCATTTAGAGCTTGCAGATTGCGAGATACGTTCTTCTACGGTAAGTGTCAATACTTTCAATTGTAAAACAATGAGGTAAATAACAGGAACAAGAGTTGAGTGAAGCAAAAAAGAGCGTTTAGGGGGTCTGGGGGGTTTTCCCCAAGGAGAATTTTGAAACTTGCTTGTATTTGGGGCAAATTTGCAACCATCTGGTACGCCTGCTGGGCGTACCGGGCGCTACGCCTATGATAACAATACAAATATGCATAAAAATGAAATTGTGAAATTGATTACTCATGCTAGTGATTACTGTGGTTTATATTGACAATCATTTTTTATTTACATAAAGAATTAATCCGGAGATTGTTATGTTTCATTTGTGGTTTACTTTTTACTTTATTAATTATTATAACTCTTTGACACAACGTTTGACTCACCCTTTCCCAGTGTTAAAGTAGTTATTAGGGGCAGATTTGAGGAAATGCACAAAAATGTTAAACAAGTGATCTCATTTATTTGCCTCGGCCTAACTTAACAAAAATGCAAAAGATGAGATTTATCATGGAATTTGAAACAAAATTATTGAAAAAGATACATATGATAAAAACAGTATCATCAATAGAAATATGTACATATATATGATTAACAAGTCTGTAATTGTTAGATATAACTCAATGTGAAACATTATTTGAGTCACGGTTTGAGGAAGTATACAGAAATGTGAAAAGAGTGCTCTGTTTATTTTCCTTGGCCTAACTGAACAAATATGAATTACATACAATGAAATATTATTCTTTCAAGTCTGTTATTGTTTGATGTTTCATATATTTATGTTATTTCACCTAATAGAAAGTCATACCTTTAGAATAGTTTGTTATTCTTAGCTATTATAAATGTGGTTCAAGGTAATGTGAAGAAATGTTATATATGCTCTGAAGGGCATTGACTGAGAAACCTACTTTTGTCCAGGAATCTTCTGAATGGATTATTCAAATTGATTTTAGTTAACAGATTAGTTCACTTTATAGTTTATATATTAAAGAAAAACTGCACCCCTTTGATTATAATTTAGGCCTGGTTGCTATGTTTTTTAATAAAATTGCAAAAAAGTCATGGCATCATGTCCAAAATCACAAATGAATACAGACCTTGACCATATGCAGCAAAGATGTACATTGTACTAAGCTAAAAGTTCCCCTTTCAATATATAATTTGGTAATTTCCCAAAATAAATTTTTCATCAAAATATTCCAATATTCAAGGCACTTGTCACTTTGATACCGAGCCTTATCTGAAAAGGACATTTTCACAAAAACAGTATTGTTGTTGGGTAGCTTCCATATTACTTCCATATTATTACTTCCATATTACTATGACTATGGTAAGTTATAACTTTTAAAGCATTCCCTAAAATAGCAGAGATAATTGCATTTATACATTTTGCTAACTTTGTCATTGAAAAATAAATTCCTGAAATTTTGGCTTATTTTGATCTATTCAGTACTTATATAAATGAATAAGGGACACAGCAAGAATATTGAAGCATTTTCAATCATTTTTGAAAATATAGTAAATGCTAACTGCAGTCATCGTAACAGTTATTCCCCTATCATCAGTTATGATTCACATATGAGCACAGGTGTATTTACACTGAATAAAATATCAAATCACGGAAACCTGATTAAGAGCAGATGCGTAGTATAAAACATGACTAATAGCAATAAATGATTCTTTCCCAAGAAATATCAGATGTACATAACCACAACACACTTTGCTGTTACCAAGGAAATCATGACATCATAGTAAGAGAACGGTGGACTAAGGAATTGTTCTTCATGGGATATCAGATATCGCCAGAACATGCTTTACTGTTACTATGGAAATCATGACATCATAGTGAGAGAACAATATACTTGCACCTGGGGTTCTTCATGACAGTATCAGGTAGATCATCACATGCTTTACTGTAACTATGGAAATTATGATATCAGAGGGGAACAAATTGACAAAAGGATTGTTCTTATGGAACATCAGAGGTGTATTATGGCTCACATGGTCAGTCCATAGACATCACACTTGAGAACAATTTTCTCACAAATGAAAACTGCCTTCTTAACTAAACTCATGCTATTATTTGTTTTTTGGGGTCTATACTGGTTAACTTACACCATTTGTCCCAGCTCCGAATTTTGCCTCATAGAGAAATCAGCTTTATTTGTCATCAAGGTATCACATTTTTCATTTTCATGGCATTACCATGAAGTGATCTCTCTGAATGTTGCAATTAATCTATAAGATTCATTTTATGTCTTCTCCAAAAAGTCAGAACATATTGAACCGCTTTCATTTTTGTAGCCATTTGTACCCGACTTCTTAAAAGAGAGCTTTGTTTATAACTAGACTCTCGAGCAGGGTAATAAGCCATTTGGAGTTTGGTGTTGGGAATCAGAGATTGCTGTAACAATCTGTTACATTTTTGTAACCTTTTTCAAGTGGTGACATTTTGTGTACATGGCTTAAAATGTCAATTGTGTCAAAGCTTATACAAATTGCTTGACATTTACTTTAAGTGATTGGTTTGAAAGTAAATGTTATTATATATTCATGCATTTTTCCTTCAGCTGGTTTGCTGTATTGCATATATTCTGTTTATTATACATGGTATCAATTGTGTTTGTACATTGTTTCAATATATTCATTCATTGTTTCCAGGTACATGTTTATATATTGTTTCAATTTTTTATTAGGTTATTTTATTTCACATCCTGTTTTTTGGGCGAATTTGTTTCCTTTGGAGCATCGCGTACAAATGACACACTTCATTCCGATAATAATATTGGAATTTTCTTTTCTAACTGGCTGTAACCAATCAAACTCTGTTTCCCATTCGGGAATGTATGTTCTAACCTTACTTGTCATATTTTCAGTTTTTGATTTCTTGCCGCGAATTTTAAAATGGAAGTAAACATTAAGTACGGACTGAATAAATGCATGTCCGTTCATTCGACAATGAATACATTTTATTTCATGAATAACCTAATATTTGTTTCTGAATAGGAAAAACTGTGGCGTGTCATGGTTTCAAATCTAAAAATAAACAAAGTCGAAAAAATTCGAGAGAATCATGATTATTTGTAAATATTCAACATGTTGCCTATGTGTTGAGCCTTATTTACGATTCAAATAAAGGTGAGAGATCATAATTATTTGTTTTTGTTAGGTATCGTTGTAAACACATTGTAGTATTGACCTAAAAAAATTTGCGTTCAAAAAACGGAAATATTTTCAATTTTTGCGTCCTCCAAATTATTTTTGAGTCCTTAACATGTACGGGACGCCATTAATGCAAGCCCTGCATGTATATTCATGCATTTTTGAATATATTTCTGTTCATTCAAATTTTTTGTCTTAAGCATGGGGTTTAAAATTACATATAGAAATTAAGAAAATCTGACATATCCTTGATCCTTGACATATCCAAGATCCTTGATCTTCACCCTCATAGAAAAATTCCTAGGAAAATCATTAAGATTTCATCCAGCAGCTTTCAAACTGTATATATGTAAGCACTGATACTAAGAATACACAAATAACAACAAACACTTGCTAGAATAAGGATATTTAATTCACAGATGTATCGGAATGGGAATATTTTATTAGTTCTTAATGATTATAATTCAATCAATGTATACATGTATGTCTCTAAGTATTTTTTAATGTTCAATGAATGCAGACAGGAATAGAATTGAAACGAGTGTGTTAAGAACTTCTGCACTTGTGTTAATTCAGGTATGCAAGGTATCTAGAAATATAGGAGAATTTGACATGCCGATTTGAGGCAGAACTTACGTCAGTATTAACCTCAAAACCAAGAATTGATCGTAACATATTGTGAAACTCACATTACCTTCTATATGGTAATCCAACCTGGCCAGGAATATGGATGGTATCGTGGATTATCCAAGAACTTCTTATGCTCAAATTGGCAATTTGTTAGTGCTAATTCCACGCTATTCCCTTCTAAAAATATAACGAAAGGCCTAATTTTCGGACACTTCTTCATAGTTTTGATTCAGACTAAATTGCTAACTTGTCCTTGGTGTTAATTCCCCAGTTTTCGTCCATATATTCTCATTTGAAAATATAAAGTCAGATGCCGGTAAGTCAATGTACTTTCATTTATTTGATTGTGTCAAGTTATCTTTATGCTGATCGAGTTATCTGCTAAGCATATGGTAGATAGTACTTCTGTAATCATGTTCTCAAATCGTGAAAATAGAATGAAATCAGACATCATTTAAAATCAATCAACATGAACTAGGCCTAAATGTTATTAAATTATAGAAATTCAGGAAATCAGAAACTTCATGAAGATTTTTATGTAAAATGGAATAAAATAATTCAGTTAGCACGTAAGCAGACGGCCATCTGGAATAACTTCATGTTGAGGTCATAGTGACCTTATGGATATAACTAGGTGTAAAACTAGATGTATTGACTAGTTGTAAGTTGTAACACATGATTAAGATGAATGATGAAAGTTTGAACTTACATAGACAGCTCTTTCATTACATAACCAGTGTATATCTCATAGATTTTTATAGAGAAATAACGAGGTTAATTAAAAATGGAGGAGAGAGAGGCGCAGAGAGACCCAGGATGTTAGCCTAATATGTGATAAGATAATAAGGACCTCCCTCTTCCTAGCAAGCTTCAGTCGTCATTTTAATCAAAAAGAGACGCTAAGGTAACATTCGCGATTGCAACTGCCGGCTTCCAGGTTGATTTCATTTGATGGCCAACTCATTTAAATATGAATAGTACCTGCCATACATCCCCATAGCTGCAAGCTATCGAATCAAAACCGATGGCTGACCTAAATAATGCGTTAATCTGCCTATTAAGCAATAAAACAACTACTGACACTGATTTACGATCTGTTCGCTAATTAAACTGAGCGGTTTAATTATAAGCGATTGTATCAGTGGCATAAAAAGTCATATGATCACTGTTAGTTGACTAATGGGTTGTTTGGGTTTAATTTATGCAAACTAATAG